GACCACTTTCAGCCATATCAGCCTGTCCATACTTTAAGAGAGACCCTTCTCATTTGCCCATATGTGTGGGCACTTACGTGGGCAACTACACAACAGAGGGCCTTTTCCACAGTGGTCCAAAAACTCAATAACTTGCTATTTTAAATGCCTTTTAAACATAGATTTTGTAGAGCTAAGGATGCACCTTGTGCATTGTATTTCTTCAACATGTAAGAAGTCCAAAGTAGTTGCCCCTTTTGCAAATTTAGATTATTGTTGTTTCTTTTGGTGATAGCGCTTTCCTTTGCATGCTTAACTTTTGTGTCAGTCCACCTCCCATTCATCTGGAATTCCTATCTTTTTCAATCTCAGTTTAGGAGAGTGCTTCTTCCAGTATCAGTAGAAACATTTTGTGGGAGTGACAGGCTGCTATGATACCACATGCTTGGATAAAATAAACATTGGGAATGCAATCATTCCACTGGCATTTGCAAATTGATTTAAAAGGAAACTACTTCCAGGAGCTAAAATTTAGGGTTTATTCATTTGTTTAAAGTTCTTTCTCTGAAATTTCTCTTATTTTAATGGCAATGGTGCTACTTAACTATATAAAATGCATAATTTGAGACAGAACGGTTCATTATGAAGACTGTGCTTACAGCTAGATATCATTGTTTATGAAAAGCAACATTAGAGAATCCACATTAGAGAAATTAGAAAGGGAAGGTTTAACCCTCCCAACCTTGTGCTAGCTTCCTATACCAAAGAGCACTGCCAGTGTTGCTATTGCCACTGGAGGTACTGCTTTTGGCAAATAGCAGACTGCTCACTGCAAGACCATTTCCCTTTTATTTACAAAAACAAGATCACAAGAAGAGCTGTGATGGATCAGACCAAAGGTCCATCTAGTCCCATGTCCAGTAGCCAGCCAGAAACTATAGACATCCCACAGATAAGACACGGGTGTAAAAGTGAATCTTCTCGAGGCAAACTGCACCTGATATTGGACGCAGCATATCGCTGCCAGGACTGGTACCCACTGATAGCCTTCACCTCCAGGAAGTTTACCACCACCACCACCAACCAGCTATCTCAGTTGTGGCTATCATGACATCTGTGGAAATGAATTCCATAGTTTAACTATGCACTGTGTTAAGAAGTTATTTCTTTTATCTGTATTGCATGAAGCTCACACCAGTCAGCTTCATGCAATGACCCCATTGGATTCTAGTAGTAGTGAGAAAGAAAAATGTCCCACTATTTTGTCCACCACTATCACATCTTCCTTTACTCACATCTTTTCTAAGTTAAACAGGCCCATACATTGTAACCCTAGTTTAATTGTCCTTTTTGGCAGCTTTTCTGGTATCCATTTTCAGCTGAGATGACCAGAACTAGATTCCACATGTAGTCACACGATGGTTTAAGTTCACATGTCACAATAAGCGACCCAGCATGGTTACCATGGTTCACAATCTTATCCCTCAACATGCCTGACCAATGATCATGCTTGTGGCACTAACTTTCCTCCTTCCTGCCATCTCTCAGTTCTCCAGGTGGTATCCCAGAAGACATCACAGGGAGGAAAGAGGCTCTCTTAGGTAGTTGTGATTTGGAGCTGAATTTGGCTCATTGCAGTTGTCAATCTCTTTTGTGCAAACAGGGTTCATTCCCTGGAGCACAGTAGAGCAGATGAGGGAGCTGCGCAGGGACACTTGCCTCCTGCTCCAGGGAGGACTGATCCATGCTCAGGCAAACTATTGACAATCTGTATGCCTCAGCTTCCAAAGAGGACCAAAGCACCTGAAGAGAGAAGTAACACACAGTGTTACAATTGAATCGGAAGTTATCGGTCAATAAAAAGCCTCAAAAGAACATTCTGGAATAAGGATTTGATGAGCACTGATGTGAGAACGCTTGCTGATATTCACCCAAAAAAGAATCACGCAATCATATTGCTAGCTGAGCTTGTCCTTCTGGCAATCCTGGATGAAAGATGTAATCACTGCACTTCCCCCAAGTCACCTAAGTCTGCACCTAGGCCCACTTACCTGGAAGGAAGTGCCATTGGATACAGTAGCACCTCCTTCTGGGTAGATATGTGTAGGCTAGCACTGTGCATTACAGAAAACTCTTAATTGCTATTGAAACTTAGGTAGCAATAATCGCCTAACCTGAAGCGCTCTCTCTCATTCTCTCACTACCTCTCTCTCTCCCCTCTCCATTCTAATAATGATTTTAGGAGATTTTGTCATTGTTGTTTGCTTCATATTTGACAGGTTGCCAACCCATATAGGGAAACTGTTTACAAAAATGCCAATAATGCAAGTGTACAGTAGTTTAAGTAGGAGCCTTGTAACACTCATGCGCACACACATCCATATAGCTAATCAGTGGATCAAGTATCAGTGCAGTGTGGATTGTAAATTTTATCTGAGAAAGGTATTGTAGCTCAGAAGAAGCATTTCATGGTATGATACCTGGTGAAACAGAGAGAAGCAGGACTCACTGATACTAGTTTGTGTTGCAGTGACAAGTGGAAACAGTGAACAAGCCTTTCCAAAAGTTACTCTTTGTGGACCATCACAAGGTATAAAGAACTGCTTGAACAGAATTACTCAACTGAAGAACTACAAATCAAGCCAAATGTGGTGGAGATATGGTGTGAATGAAGCGAAACCCAGGTGAGTAAATTTTAAGGATTGGTAACTCTGAGCAACTCAACTTGCTTGTGATTGGGGGAGTTTCAGCACATTGCATAAGCACTACATTGTCCTTCGGTATAACGTGATGGCTCATATTCATGAGGGTGTCATGCTACCATTCATGGATACACCAGACTTTCCTTGTTAGAAAAACAGAACCCCACTAAAATAGCTGCAAGGAACAAGAGCGGCCATCATTAAAGGGCCACAGATGCTCAAGGATTTCATTTTACTGTAGATGTGGTACTGTGTAAAGGGAACGTTGTCTGAATTACCTGCTTCCAGCAGGCACCAATATTCCTTGCACTGATGCTCAGGCCATAAGAGATTTTTCGCCAGTGGACAGCTAGAATAACATTAGTGCAGTAAAATTAAGTAAAATGCTATTACCCACTTCATAAATGTTGTTACAGAAAAATCCTTCCTGCTAAGACTCCCCACCAGAGATGGTCAATGCTCCTTTTCTTGGAAATGACACTTGAGCAGTTTACACTGACATCTTAATCCTTTTTTGTGCCTATTGTATTGCCGTGTGTTAACTGGCAAATGGAAAAGTCAGTTCAGAACTCAACAATGTGTGAGGCTAACATTACTCTAGATGTATCTCCATTGTGATACTGGAGATGTTTTGCTTTAGCTGACTTAGAGCCTAGAAACCAAGCTTAAGATGAAAAAGCACTCAGAGGAAAATGGTGCAAGGCAGTAATTGGAACTGATTGCTCATGCATGATTAGACTCTCAGATATTTGTGACTGGATTTATTACAGAAGAAATTCCACTGACCTCAAAAGAGTTGGAGCCAAGTTAATTTCGCCTTGCAAGTTTAGCTTTAACTGCATTTTCTATTGGCATTTCTGGTATGTTGTAGAAGTGATAGGCATGGAGGAAATGAGTTAAAATGGGTTTTAAAAGAAGCAAACATCTTTATCACTATTAAATAGAAAGTATGTGCATGAGCATTCCACCTCTTAATTCTCCTTGCTCCCCTGCCCTAGTAAAAATGAAGTAACTGGAATCAGATTGTTAAGCTTAGCACGCTTCTACAGGGATCCCTAACTGAAGAAGTATCTCCACTGAGATACTTCTACCCACTGTCTACCTTCCACCCAGGGTTGACAAGATAGAGCCGGGTCTATGGGTATACCTCCAGGTTATTTACAGTAGACCGGCAAAGATTTCCTATTCCCAAATGCTCTGCAACAGCAACAATAAAATGACTTTTTCCACTTAAAATAGGCAACTAAAATTAAGGATGCCTGGGGTCACTAGGAAAGGACTATGAGTTCAGTTCAGTTCCAACACTGAGAACAAAGACTTGGAAGATATTCAGATGCATTCTGTTCTTTAATTCTAAATGCATGACATTTGCACCTCACTTTCATGGGAGAATCCTGACAATCTAGTAAAAACAAAGTAGATCCGAGAAGCTGAAAGTCTGCTGACCTCTGATCTAGCTGTTACACAGTGTGGACAAGATACCCATTCTTCTTTGGGTGCCTTGATTATCATCCTTCATAGATCTGTCTCTGAATATTGTACAGTACAGGTCCCTGCATTCTTGGATTCTACCGAATCTTTGTTGGCTTTGTATCTTAGTTTTGTTATTGTGTGTGGCCCAACAAATAACACTAACTTACTTGTTGCAGGTTTCCAGAAGTGGCTTCATATTGTCCTGATGCATAAGCACAGAAAAAGGAACTGCCTGCAAAGAAGTACCATTAAAAAACCAAGCAATATTTGAAAACATTCCATGAAGATTATTGCAAAAGTGATTTTGCTAACATATCTCATTTCGTTATTGCAAAAGAATTAGAACTGATGCCTAACTGATACAAATGAAGTTCAGCATCAGATTACTGCTTATTATCAATCAGAATTGCAATGAGCAAAGTATGTCATGATCCCTCTCAGCTGTCCTTGAGATGACCCTGTAAACTAGAGTCACTATTTTTCTCAATTTTACAGATGGGAATGGGAAACTGAGAGATGGCTACTTACCAAGACCAGCCAATATCCTGATAGAAAAGTAGGAATTTCCCCCTGCAAATGAATCTCTGTACTGTGAAAACAGTAGATAAAATCATCATACCATAACAGTATATCTTGAATTCCTATTATCTGCAATCCACAACATCTTAATGTGGCTTTGCTGAAGCAGATGTAAGCTAGCTATGAATAGACAAGATGGAAAAATTGTGAATTCGTTCTGAAAATTAACTGTTCTCTATGGTAAGTTTAATTTCAATAAGTGGCAGTCATTAATAAGATTCACTAATTTAAAGAAGTGAAGTTCCTGGAGATAATTACCCTGTAATTATGATGGCCATATTCATTCACAGACAGCATCTCTTTTTGATTGGCTTCTTAAGTTTCTGTGCAGGTAGTTTTTCACAAGGTCAAAAGAATAACACACTGATTTTCACAAAGGAAAATACAATTCGTAATTGCATGTGTCCTGATGAGATTACTGAGAATGACTGTGATTATAGTCTGGCAAATCTGATCTGTAATTGTAAAACTGTTTTGCCTTATACAATAGACAAAACCTACTACAATAATCTGACAGTTTGGTTTACAGAAACATTCATGTTGGGAATGTTTTTAAACTTTACAGTTGTGTATGACCTGAAGCTCTCACTCTGTGGCACCATTCCTCTGTCAACAAAGTATCTGACTATTTGGGGAGTGCGTAGATTGCAAATAAGAAGTGAGATCAATGGCCAGTTACAAGAACAAAGTTTAACAACCTACAGCAGCCATGACAATCAAATACAAGACAAACTGAAGATGTCATGCAAAAACAGGGACACGATTACTCATGTTGCTATTTTGGACACATCTCTTTTCAACGGCTTTGCCGCACTGAAATCATACAGTGTGGAGAATGTTTTCAACATTACGGACCATTTTCCACATTTGCCATATTTGGACACATTCTTTATCACAAATAACAGAAGTTGCATTATAACATTCATTTATTAATAAGCAGTCATAGGCCACCACCAGAAATACAATGTTGTAGAAGCAAATTTCCTACCATTCATCAATATCAAATTATAAAGAAAGCTGAATTCTCATTAGTTCTAAATTTTTGGATTTAGAACTATGATTTTCAGTAAACTGTAAACTTTATAGTTTATGGGTATCTCATTTTGTTTAAAGCCCCAACTTTTCAAATGCTAATACTTTTATTAACACACAAAACTTTTAAAAATCCACAAAACATTTCAAACTTTTCAATTCTGTCAAATTATTATAAGCTTATTATTATATTCAATACATAGGCTAATTTATTCTATAGTCTCATTTCAACTAAACAAGATGAAATATTAAACAGCCTTTTGGCTGAACATGCACATCCCTCTTGCTCTGTTCTTTGTGGATGTAAGCAAACAAACCAGAAAACTTTCTATTAATTAATGTTTCTCATTTTGTCCAAACTAGGAAATTATGATTAACAGCTCCAGAACAAGCCAAAATATTATGATATGGTTTTGAGGGTGGGTTCATAGCCTGCTTGTTCCAACACTATGAATGGCCAGTTTGGGTGAATTAGGAAGGTCAACTTGCCAAAAATGAGCAGTAAAGAGGACATGTATTGCCACAAGACTTATTCATATCTTGGCTTAAGGTGAGATATCCTTGGCTGTTTGGTTCAAGCTCAAATGATTCCCCCCCCCCAAAAAAAATCAGTAGATTTGGCATTCATGTCTAGTCATTATTCTAGTCCTAAACAATGTCTTTGACTTTTTCAAGCAAAACTTTTGACTGCATCATGTATCCTAGGATATTCTTTTCCTAATATATTTATGAAATTTCAAACTAGAAAATAATTCCACCACCAGATAGTTTTTAAAAGCACCTGGATGTTGAGCACATTGCCAACATGTGCAATTTCAAATTTTGTAAATTATGTCCATAATTTCATAAAGTTTTATGTTGTCCCAAAAAGATGTACCAGGCCCCATGCTCAGCATTGATGCTTGTTAATATTTTTTGGCTACTGTCTTTTTAAAAAGAAGCAATATTTTAAACATGTGATGCTAGGACAAAAATGTCCAAAACTGGGTTAACATTAATTTAAATGAATTTCTTTGGCTTGTGATATAAAAATTGTATTACTTATTTATGCCAAGTTAATTGAGAATGAATACTTTCAAATATGCCAGGCAAAATCTACTAACAGAAAAGGACTTTTCCATCCTCCCTTTTCCCTTGCACTGTTGCACATAACCCATGAAGTGCTCTAGAGGACTTCCAACCATCCAGAATTTGGGGGAGGGCAGGAGCCCAATACTGCCTCCCTTTTCTTCTGCTAGAAGTAGCTGGGTAGGCAGGAAGGTGTAACTGGATATGACTCATTGAGAACTGCATCTGTCTTATGTGTTAGATTAAATCTTACATATATACTGTAGCTGTCAACTTCTTGAGAATATTCTAGCCAATTATATTAGGGATTAAATACATTTACAACTGTGCCTTCATGATATGGCCTGCTTATATATGGATGCAGCAATCCCATTCCTCAGTTAACTTACCAAAAGTGATTACATCAACAATCTTTCTAATCAAGATAAATACCAGAAATTGTTTTTAACACATCAAAGGATAATTAAGTATTAATGATCAGTTTGTTTATGTAATGTTTTCAGAAGAAATAAATAACTTGTAGAAACCCTGAGGCAAGAGGCTTTAGAATTGGTAACTCAGGTAGTAGCTGGATCATAATTAGTGATATTATACATCTTTGAATGCTTAATTAAATTTCATAATAGGAAAAAAAAACTGTAAAAGCCAGTTCTTAGGGTGAGAAAAATTAGACAGTCACTTTCTGTCATCTGTCAAAGAAAGGACAGTGAAGAATCCAGGAGGTGAGATACTTAAATACAGATAAGGACCCATTCTTTATATTTCAAAAGTAGTGCTGCTGCTTCTTTTTTGCAGCTTCATTCCTTAACACATTATTATTATTACTATTATTATTATTTACAGATATATTAACATTTACTGAACTTTGTACACATGAAATGATCTTCAGAGAGAATAATCAAAAGAACAAAATTCTTAGCAGATTTTTAATATATTCAATGGAACAGAACTAATATATTCAGCAGAACATAATCAGAGAAAAGCTGTCAATCAATTTTCAAAAAGATGTAACTGAAAACAAGGTTTCTTATTTGCAAGATATTCCTAGCAGCATTATTGAAATTGTTGCAATGTTATATGGAGCGCTTACGTCCTGAAGGAGGACGCTTACGCTCCTGAAGGAGCGCTTACGTCCATATATGCCCAGCCGCCCCTTGAGATCAGCGGGAGAGGCCCTTCTCTGGGAACCCTCCGGGAAGGAAATTAGGAGGGTGGCTACTCGGAGGAGGGCTTTCTCTGCGGTGGCGCC